TTTTTTATGGGTTAGTAATATTCCTTAGCATAGACATACCACAATGTTGATCCTTTCACCAGTGGATGGATACCTGGGTTGTTTCAAATTTGGGGCAATTATGAAGAATACATGCATACGAGTTTTTAGGTAGACATATATTTTCATCTTTCATAGGTAAATATCTAAAAGTGTGATTGCTGGTTCATATGGTGGACTTATGTCTATCTTTATAAAAACACGAGGGGCAGAATATTTGAGAAGAGTAATTGTATTTCTTTCTCCAACACATTTTTCTTGAGCACCTATTATGTCCAAGGCAAACCAAGGGCGTTTCCCCAAACACTTGGGGATGTTCCCGCTCCCCAACCTCTGCTTGTGCTATCTCACCAGCAGAAATGCAGACCTCCCATACATTTCCTTGTCCTTGGGCCAAGGCTTACAGTAGACAAGGCATCATTGCAGTGGATCCAAGAGGGGTGGAATGAATGTTTCTGCTCTGCCAACAACAACCTGAAAGATGGAAAGTCCCTCTGGGACTCACGACCAACAGAGCTGCAGGGAGATGCCAGGAGATACAGGACAGAGAAGAGTTTAATGCTCTGGATGGTATCACCCAGATAAGACAGACTCTGGTCCAGCTCTGGGCCCATCCTGCTATCATCCCATGTTCCACAATCTCATCTGCATGCAGCAATTTTCCCTTCCTCTGATTAATCTACTACTTCTGGACACTCTGGTTTGGCAGTGGTCATCTACCCTTTGGGCACCCCTTATATTCTTGCCCTCTACCGTGGCTTAGCTTTCAGCACTTGTGTCCCAGCCAGCAGGAGCTCCCTGAGGACAGAGGCCTGCCGTGCTCAGCACACCCAGGTACGTTTGGCTCTCCACAAAATACTGCTTAAGAATGCTCCTGAGGAGGCTTTAATGATTTATAATCAAAATCAATTGCTTGCATGGAAACAGGAGTTACACATACTTGCTCTAATCATTCACGTTATGCATCAACTTGGCTGGTCCACTGAACCCAGATGTTTGATCTAACCTGTCTCAATTTCACTGTCAAGATATTTTTTTAGATGAGATTAATATTTCAATCAGTAGATTTTGAGTAAAGCAGATTACCTCCTATAATGTGGGTGGACCTCATCCCATCAGTTGAAGTCCTTAAAGGAAAAGGACTGACCTTCCCCAAGGAAGAGGGAATTCTGCCAGCAGATGGCCTTGGGGCTCTGCTACATCAGCTCTTCCCTGCTCTCCAGCCTGCCAGCCTACCCTGCATGATTTCAGACTTGCCAGCTCCCACAGTCACATGAGCCAATCCCTTAAAATAAATCCCTCTCTCTGCATATACATATATAGAAATATATACACATACAGATCATCCATCCATCCATCTATCCATCCATCCTATTGGCTTGTTTCTCTGCAGAATCCTAACACACTTGCTCACACCATGCTTCCCACCGTGCGTGACATGAGAAGCCGGTGGGCAAGGGTAACCCTGAGATCTGTTACAGCCCAAATGATCAGAGACATGGTCTCACAGGTCAAACGGTCACCGCCTTGTGGGCACTATCCAAAATGCAGCTCACCCCACGACCTAGGGGGCAGAGACCACCAGACCCCTGCTCTCTGGGGGCAGCTGCTGCGGAGGGGGCTTGTGCAATACCTGCTGAGGTCCTTGGCCAGATCTGGGCAGGAGGGACTGGAAGCTTCTACTCCGTCACCAGCAGGGGCAGAAGGTGAAGCTGTGTGTTCTGCAGCCGAGGGAGCGGGACCCACGAGGGCAGCAGCTGGGGAGGTGCTGGGGACACAATGAGGGCATTATTCCACATGGGGCTGGGGTCATTAATGGCACATTCATCAGGCCCTACTCACCCCACCCAACCCACCCGCCCACACATGGAAGTGACTCTTTAAACCCCGGCACACGGCTCCCGGGCTTCCCCACCCAGGCCTCCACTCTACACAGCCTGGCCTGTGGCGGCAACCCAGCGGCTCCCAGGCCAGGCCCTTAAGCTCCTCTCTCCTTAGGCTCCTGCAGAATGAGGTTCCTTGAACAGAGGCATCTCAGGTGTCCAGGACACGCCATGTGACTTTCCTAGTTTGATTCCTGTTTAGAGGAGAGGATTTCTGTATGATGATTTCCATTAGTTTTCGATAGGCAATGGAACTCTATGAGGTGAGAACTAAAATACAATTGTACAAATTCCCCAGGCTTTGCCCGCAAATCCGAAGGCTGAGAAAAATCCAGAGGAAAAGGCTGATGGGTAATCCAGGAACCTGCCCGGGCCCAGCTGGGCCACCCGTGTCCTGGGGGAGGAACGAGTTTCGGGGCGGAGTGTGGCCCTCGGGCAGGGAGCGAGAGCCCCCTGCTGGACAGCTGGGGAACCACAACGGCCTCTCGGGGTAGCACAAGAGACCACTCCCCACAAAAGCCAAAAGGCACAGGCTTGGCGTCCAGAAGAGGTTCTGGTTTTCCCCACTGGCAAAAATCAAGGCTAGCAATGGTCTCCTCAGACTGAAGCTGGGGAACAGCTTTCAGGCCTCCCAGTCTCTCCAGCCATCCCTGCTCCTGTCCACGGTGGGGCTGGCCGGGCCGAAGGTGTCTTGGGGTGGCCAGGCTGGAACACAGGGCTCAGCACCGAGGGCCTGAAACCAGCTTGAGGGGTAGCTGGGGTTTGTGGTGTCACAGCCCTTGCAGTGAGGGATCACTGCTTCCCTCTGGGGGTAAACACCGCAGGGAGCTCCCAGATCGCAGGACTCCAGGGTGCGTGGGCTTCTGGGCTGCTACGTCTGCCCACTCCATCTTCTCGAGGGCCACCTGAGAGGCTAGCACCCTGGTCTGAAGGGCAGCTGCCATGGGCACCCACACTGCACACTGGACAGAGGACTCTCAGTCTTGCCCCTAAGTCCAGTCACAGCTTAGCAGATTCTGCAGGTCCAGCAGGCACTGCCCAGCCCCTTTACAGCCCTGGCCTCAGAGCTCCACGAAGGCAGGGGACACATCTGCCACCTCCACCCCAGGATCCCAGCCCCAGGCCAGGCCACACACAGCGTGGGAGCAGAGCCAGGGCTGGACCCACACTGCCTGCTCCCTCGGGGTCCCACAAACAGAGAGAAACAGAGCCCGGGGAGTAACGACAGGAAAGCCCAGCGCAGGGCAATCCGTGGGTGAACAAAAGTTACAAGTGCTTGGACGAAACCCAGCAAAAGAGCAAAGTGGGTTTGCAGACGGAGTGACTGGCCTCCTTTGTCACACTTTTATTTCTAACAATTTGGGCAGTGGCTGAAATTAATTATTTTGTACAAGAATGACTCAAAATGAATAATGCAAACTGCCAGGGGCATTTAAGCTCCTTACAAGAGCTATTTTACACTTTGGAGGCTGACATGTATTCATAACCAGCAAATGGACCACGTACAAACGCAAGCTACTGGTAACATTTACAAACGCAAGCTACTAATCTAACGCTTACAAACACAGGCTACTAGCCTAAGACTTCCCTTTCTCCAGACACTACACTGGTGCGCTCCTCCCTCCACCACACACTTCCCACCAAGGTTTTACTTAGTTTAATGCAAATTGAGGAAAGGTGGTTCTGCGTGTGGTTCTGTGACTTTAAGGTACTGTTTATCAAACTGCAAGGAAGGATCCCTGTCTTGGAAAACAGTGGCAGAGGGGAGGGGAGGGGAGGTGCCACCGTAGATCTGCGGCCTGCCGTAATCACAGCAAGACCAGCTCTGTGACAGCTGACGTCCCTGGGATCTGATGCAGATGCCCCAGGCTACAAATCCATTCCCTGCCTGGTATCTGAGAACGCCCCAGGGCAGCACAACCAAGGCTCACTCAGCAAGCTCCCCGCCTGCCCTGAACACCCGCAGCTGCTCCTGCTCCTGAGGGGCCACCTGGCTGCTCCCTCCTCCCTTCCCTCTGTTGGCCCCAACTGCCAGGGGCACGCCCTTCCTGCGCCAGCCGGGTCCCATTAGCCAAAGGCACCAAACAAGTGTGACTCAACAGCTCATTTAAGAAAGGAGCCTCCCCCTCTTCCACCCCCGTTGGCTCATACCCAGGGGCCGAGGAGGTCAGGCTCCCACCAGGAAACACTCAGTGACTCACCATCCCAATGCTAACACATGGGCCCCCACAGACACCTCCTAGGCCCCACAGAACACCTCCTCTTCCCTCCTGACCCTCCACTTCCTCCCCCAATTTTCCCAGCTTGGAAGTGGCGCCACCAGCCCGCCAGGCCCAGGCACTGACTTCCGGTTCTCTCGGTCCCCTGCCCCTCATCATTCTTTCCTGCTGAGTCACCTCCTTCTCCTTCTGGAATCTGTCCTCTCTGAGGACTCCTGAGTGTCCTGCTGTGCCTGCCTTCCGTTTTGTCCCCAAAGATCCAAGGCCCCACAGCCACCAGAATGACCCAACTCCAGTTCTGATCAGGTCCTTCCACTGGAGCCCTCCCTGACTTCCCACGGCATCCGGAAGCTGGCCGTCGAGGAGCCAGACAGGGCCCATGGAACTTCCCCTGAGCTGCCAGAGGGCGACGCTGGCCCAGCAGAGCGAGCAAGCAGGTAGCAGCAGCCAGCTCCTCGCCCACAACACTGGTCAGCTCCCGTCTGCATTCAAGCCTCCTGTGACCAGCAGTGACTTCTCTTAAAGACATTGTTCTCAGAAGTCAGGCCCTTAACAAATGCCCAGGACCAATCCCAGGCCTTTGTGGAAGCTTCTGGACAGCTGCCAAACCCGGCCCAGAGAGGGCAGGGCACTGACATGGGGTCCACACATTCTGTGGTCTCATTCCACCTGCCAGCATTATCCCACTGTCCTCCTCCCCTGGGAAGCCAGCCTGGGTTAAATGTCTGGGAGGCCTTTTTCCATTGAAGGAGTTCATCAGTGTTTTCCAGACCTTATTGGAATAACGAAGAAGCTGAATTCAAATTCATGTAGAGTACTTATATTTTTGGAAGAGTAAGGATGTATTGATTTAAATTCAATCTGCTATTTCTTTTGGTTTAGGAAAGAATTGACAGCAATACAAATGACCACACTTTTAGCAGATAGCCATGACTTATTGACCAAGATGTTCTTTCCTGTTAAGCCCAGCTGGACAAGACCTCAGAATCCATCTCAACATAGATCCCTAGGGAACCACTTCCAATGGACCAGAGATGATGGATCAGGAGAGTTTGCTATCCCTGACTTAGGACCTTGCTAAGGTCCTCACAAACAACTGGTCACTGGTCCCACTGACCATGAGGCTGCGGTCTCCAGCCACACAGACATTGCTCCAGGGCTCACCTTCAGCCCCACAGCCCTGCAGGTCTGGCCGCAGTGAGACACTGTCAGCAGCTGGTGGCCTTTGATTCCCTGCTCGGGGCTTTTGAGTCCTGGGCAGATCCCTCACTGAAATCACAACATGTTTCACTTCAGAGATCGGCTGGAGCTGCCAAGTTAAGCCCTTGGGCAAGGACAAACACCAGAGTGGCCTGGCCTGTCACGGGAGGGTGATAACAGCCCCCAAGGTGCAGACTGAACACATGGTCCTGTTGGCCAGATGGGCGACAGCACCTTATCTCCCATTTTGCATCGCCATCTGGAAGGCATTTAGCACAACGGCCCTTCCTCCCAGGCCTTCTAATTTTTTTCTTCCCGAATCCCCAAGTGCACATGATACCACGTAATAGAGCAAGCGTTAAGGCCAAAGACTCAGGTTATGCTGAAAGCGAGATGCAAACTGCAAAGAGGAAAGTGCTGTGAAAGCGTGGGTTTGAAGAGCCAGGCTTGGTGGATACAAACGCCGGACAGCCAGTCCCACGGAGGCCTGGGACTTGGTAAAATGACACTCAGTAATGGGAGATAGAACAGGCATCTCTCAGAGGCAGCCACTGAAAGCCCCAAAGCCCAAATCAGAAGGTGCTGAGAGGTGCTTGTGAATTGGCTGGAAACTTCGAGGCAGGCACATCCAGACATTTCTGGTCATTGGTGAGATCCGCCGGCATCCGAGCACCAGCCAGTCCACGTGAAAGCGTGAGCAGCCCCAAACAAGCTGATCTGCAGATTTCCAGCGGGCGCTGGGCGCCTGCGCAGTTAACCCTGAACTGGCTGGTCAGTTCTTCCCCAGCACACGTCTATCCACTTTACCTTCACGGCATGAGCCCGTGCTCAGAGGAGGAATGTTATTTTCAAACTTGGCCTAAGCAAACCTTAAGCAGGAAGGAAAATATTCACCAAGGGAAAAGTGATAAACACCATCCCAAAACCACAGGCAAGGCTTTGGTCTGGCTTGGATCATCCAAGTTATGAATCCCCATGCTTGGTCATCAGCAGCAGTTCTGTGGGCCCTCTGCCCAGGGGCAAGGCTTCCTTATGCCCTGAGCCCTCTGGGGATGAGCCCTGGTTTACAGAAGCTACAGGGGTGGAGAGACAAGGGATAAAAGGAGACTGATCTTGGATATCCAAGGTTATTCAGAAAGTCAAAATCTACCTATACAGATAAAGCAGCTCAAGAACCATGAAAAGCCAGAACAAGAACAGAATTTTGCATTGGTGTAAGCCATATGAAATTCTCAATATTTGACAATTGCCAGTGTGGCAATTCATGTGGTCCAACCCAACAGCAGCCAGCCAGACGCTGGAAACTCAAAGGCTCTGAAGAGGTACAGAGGTGCACCCCAATTTACTCAGCATGCTGGATGCTGGCTTGAGAGATTTGATTCATGAATGTCAAAGTACCCTCTAAAGGGTACAAAGGAATTCTGTTATTCAGAGAAGACTTTTGGGAGATCCACCTTCTAAATTAAAAATCATTCCTCCACTTTACCTTTCAGGTTTTTTTTTGTTCGTTTTTTTGAGACTGAGTTTTGCTCTTGTCGCCCAGGCTGGAGTGCAATGGTGCGATCTTGGCTCACTGCAACCTCCGCCTCCCAGGTTCAAGCAATCCTCCTGCCTCAGCTTCCCCAGTAGCTGGGATTACAGGTGCCTGCCACTATGGGCAGCTAATTTTTTTTGTATTTTTAGTAGAGATGAGATTTCACCATGTTGGCCAGGCTGGTCTCAAATTCCTGACCTGAGGTGATTCACCTGCCTTGGCCTCCCAAAGTGCTGGGAATTCTGCCGTGAGCCACCGTGCCTGGCCCAATCCTTGGTCTTAACAGAACTATCTCTTTTCTACCAATCCAGTAAAAACAACACGACAACACAACTCTGGTTAAATATTCGGTAACAACGACAAGGCACCAAAATTGCTCATTCCTTACTCAAATACTTCCCTAGGTTAGGTTTTAATCATGTCTGCATTCTACCCCACGTTCTGATTCTTTCCATGAGGAGATACAGCCAAGAAGCTGGCCAAGTTCTCAGCACTGACATCTCTGCTTAGCCACCGGTCCCTTCCTGCATTCTGTGGCCACTCTTGGTCAGGGTTACAGGTAACACAACTGCATTACCTCATGTATTACCTTCCTTGGACTACAGAGACCACGGATGCAGGCGGGGCCCCAGGACATGGTGTCTCAGGAAGCCTGGCTCTCCCACAGCTCTGTCCCTGGAGGTTTCAGAACACAGGTGGGCAGCTGGGCCAGAGCTGCTGCAGTCCCAGCTCTGCACTTCCTAGCTGTGTCCTGGAGCATGTTAACATCTGAGCCTCCGTCTGCTCAACTGTGAAACGGCAGCCATGACAGCAGCTCCTGCCTTCTACAGATGGCATGAGGATTTACGGAGACGCTCAATGAAACATACCCAGCATGGCTCCTGGAACGTGGGAAGTGTCCAGGCAAAAGGAGCCGTAGACCATGCGCCACTCACCTACTATGGGGCCTGGGACAAGTCACTTAAAACACACACTCAGCTGGGTGCAGTGGCTCACGCCTATAATCCCAGAACTTTGGGAGGCCAGGGTGGGAGAATCGTGAGGTCAAGAGATCGAGACCATCCTGGCCAACATGGTGAAAACCCATCTCTACTGAAAATACAAAAATTAGCTGGGTGTTGCGCCCGTAGTCCCAGCTACTTGGAAGGCTGAGGCAGGAGAATCGCTTGAACCCAGGAGGTGGAGGTTGCAGTGAGCCGAGATCGCGCCATTGCACTCCAGCCTGGGTAACAAGAGCGAAACTCCGTCTCAAAAAAAAAATAAATAAATAAAAATAAATAAATAAATAAATAAATAAAAATTAAAAAAAAAAAAAAACCAGTTTCCGGCTTGGGAGGGGCCTTCAGAAGCACCCATCACACCCCCCGCTGGACCGCAGTTCTCCAAGAGTCATCCGCCAAGTCCAATGCCATCCTCTGCTCAGAGCTTCCTCTTGCCCCTGCATCCCCCAACTGTAAGATGGGAGCACTGGGTGAGAGTGATCTCAGGGCCCTTCCAGGCTTTGCCAAGGGAGGGTGTGTCCCACTGGCTGCGGCCAGAGGCCCCTGCGTCTTCCTAAAACGGTGGTGGTCAAGGGAGCCAAATGGGACAGAGAGGGGGAGGAATAGGAGAGACAGAAAGGGGTGCCCCACTTCTCACTGGAAACTTCTGTACACTTCCTGAGTGTTGGAACCTTTGTCCCCAGCTAGGGTTTTTCCTTTGAGTTAAATTCACACATAAGTAAGAACTATGGCTGACTCCTACCTGTAAAAGAAACATCTAAAATTCGACATCAGTGCACGGCTGCCCTGGAATATCACTTCTGGACTGCAGTTTCCCGTCCCGTCTATCCCGTCCTCTGCCTTCTCCCCCACCAGGCACCTCCTCCTAGTTTTAAATAGGTATATTGGTTCTGTCGGCCGTCCACCTGTACCCCAAGGAAGGTTGTCAGCGGGGGCTGGCCCCCAGGTCCCTGTCCTCCCTCATCTGGTTCAAGTCACCACCATTCCTCCAGGGCCTGCCCAATGCCATCCCCGCTACTGCAGTTCCAGAGATGACAGGTGACCAGTTCCTCCCTCCAGGAGTTCCCAATCCAGCAAAGGAGATGGAATTAGACATGGGCCATTTATGAGAATCCGTGCAGGGCAGTGACATAGGGTTATGACAAGTTACTGGAGGAATTCAGAGGCAGGTTTCTCTCAGCGTGGGGAGAAGGCTTCTTAGAGGAAGGGCCACTGGGTCATGAGTTCTGGGAAGAAAGGGGCAGTATCTGTCCCAGTCACCATGGCTTTGCCAGCACTGTGCAATGTTAGGCAAAAAGCAGTTGTTTCACTGATCTGAACAGCAATTAAAATGTGTGTATGTGTATTCACAGACACACACATATAGACATGTGTGTATACAGACAGACATGTGGGGGCATACATGTGTATGTGTGTATAAAGACATGGGGGGCATACATGTGTATGTGTGTATAGAGACATGTGGATGTGTACATATGTGTATAGAGACATGTGGAGGCAGACATGTGTACTTGTGTGCCTATATGTGCATATATGGGCATCTGAGCTGACACTGAGGCTGATTCTGGAAAAGCCCAGTTTCAATGCCAAGATTGCAGGCAGAGGGAGCAGTGAAGTCTGAATCCAGGCCAAGCACAGTGTAGATGGAGAACTGTGATCAGTGTGGGGTTGCTGGGGTATGGAGAGCAAGGAGAAGGGAGGCTGGTGGGAGGTGACATGGCAGAAGGGCAGGGGCGGGGACCCCAGGCCCCTGGCTCCTCTGCCTGTGCTGCTGACCCTCTTCTCTGACCGCCACCAAGAAATGAAAGAAAATGAGCCCTGAATCCAGCTCTGCCCCAGGAGACCAGAAGACAGCTAACTCGAGCATTTCCTAAAAAAGAAACAGCACCTTCTCTCTCCTGGAGGACGTCCGTTTCAAATGGGGACCCTGAAGGCCACGTGGGAAAATTTCTAACATGCCCCTTGTATGTGCTGGGGGCCGGGTCAGGGGAGACCCTAGTCTCCTAGTCTTCCCAGTGTCTCAGATCATTCCTAAGGTCACAAGAAGAGGCCCCAGCCCTGCACACACCTGTTCAGGATAGGTGTGCATACCCTGCGTGTGTGCGCAGAGGGGGTGAAACTGCAGGAGAGGAGAGGGGACGCAGAGGGAGGCAGCCTCAGGGATTGTGCCCAGGGTCTCACCACCAGCTCCAGGGCCCCCAGCGTACCTCTGGGCTGTCAGATCCGTAGAGACCTGGCCAACAACATCACCGTGGTGGGAAGCGGCAGCTAAGGATGGGTTTTCCAGGTCTGCGGGGACAGTAGGCTGGATGACATCATCTGCCACAGGTGAACTGGGGAGAGAAAAGGGAAAGAACCAAAACTCAGAAATATTCCTATGAGTTTTAAATGTGTTTTAACAGCACATTGCTATCTGGAGCCTGATCAGGGCCTCAGTTTCCCTTTCTATGAGGGATGAGTTTGGTGCTGCTCAAAGCAGGGTCTGTCACCAGTCTATGCTAAGTCTTGTCTGTGACAAGATTATCACCAGTCTATCCCAAGTGGCTGGAATTAACAGGCACGCACCACCACGCCTGGTTAATTTTTGTATTCTTGGATTTCTGGCACAGATGGGTTTCACCATGTTGGCCAGGCTGGTCTCAAACTCCTGAGTTCAAGTGATCCACTCACCTTAGCCTCCCAAAGTGCCGGGATTATAGGTGTGAGTAACTGCGCCTGGCCCCTTTGTAGCAATTTGATAGACCACGTTCATGTCTGTTAAATCTAATCGTAAAAGGACAGGTTCAACATCCTACCGCACACAGGACGGTCCCCAAGACAAAGGACTATGTGGCCCAGAACATCAATAATGCCAAGGTTGAGAAACCCTGGCCTTGAGTTTCACTTCTTTTTTCTAGTAATTCATTTATATATATATATAAAAATATTCATATATATATTTATATATATGAATATTCATATATATTTATTTATTCATATATTATTTCATATATAATATGTATATGAAATATATATAAATACATATATAAATAATATTCATATATTATTTATTCATATATATATTCATTATATATGAATATTCATTTATATATATGAATATTCATATAATATTCATATATATTTATATATGAATATTTATATATATATTTATATATAAATATGTATAACATATAAATTATATGTGTATAAATATGTAAAATATACATAAATTTTTATATATATAATTTCTATATATATCGTTATTCTTGTTGAGACAGTCTCACTCTGTCACTCAGCCTGGAGTACCATGCTGTAATCAATCTCAGCTCACTGCAACCTCTGCCTCCCAGGTTGAAGCTATTCTCATGTCTCAGCCTCCTGGGTAGCTGGGATTACAGGTGCCCGCCACCACGCCCAGATAATTTTTGCATTTTTAGTAGAGATGGAGTTTTGCCATGTTGGTCAGGTTGGCCTCGAACTCCTAACCTCAGGTGATCCACCTACCTCGGCCTCCCAAAGTGTTGGGATTATAGGCATGAACCGCCGCATCCGGCCTTAATTATATTTTTTAAAGTTTTCATCTATTATGAGTCAGAAATTTAAAAGTCACCCTGGTCCTTCAGGGACTGAAAGAGCCTGCAACCTCCAAGCACAGGCTGGGTCGGGATGCTGGACGAGGCCCAGTCCTCACACACCCATCGTCTTGTAGTCAGTTACCCTATCCTTTCGTCGGGGAGGTCCCTGAGGGAATTTCTGATGAACTCTGCTCTGTAGGTGTAAGTAGCAGGACCATTCTTTCCACTCCTTGAGCAGACTCTTATTGAAAACCAATTCTCTGCTGTGAACAAGAGAGCAGTGGTACCTGCCTTCATGGGACCTCTCACGGGACAGCCTCAGGCAAGATCAGTTTTTGTTTTTGTTTTTTTTTGGAAACAGGATCTCCCCCTGTCACCCAGGCTGAAATGCAGTGTCGCCATCATGGCTCACTGTAACCTCAACTTCCAAGGCTCAATCGATCGTCCCACTTCAGCCTCCCCAAATGCTGGGATTACAGTCATGTGCCACCTTGCCTGGCCCAGATGAGTGTTTTCTACAATGCTTATTTAGTAACAACTGCTAAGAAGGAAGGTGCAGGTGGTCATGAGAACACAAACTAAGAGCTCCTGGCCCACAATGGGGGTTGTGGAAAACTTCCCTGTGATGTGACGAGCATGCCGAGGCCAGCTCAGCAACAGCGCATGTTTCCTGGTGCTTACTACATGCCAGGAATTGTTCTAGGTACATATAGACAGCACTGTATTTGATCCTCACAACAACCCTTATGAGGTGGATACTATTATTAAACACATTTTACAGATGTAAAAACTGAGGCAGAGAGAGGCTGAGCAGCTTGTCCAAGGTTGCACAGCAGGTAAGTGGCAGAACCAGGATACAAACCCAAGCCTGACCCCAGGAGTCATGCTCTTAATCTCCACACATGGCTTTGTCCCAAAGGTTGAAGAGTAATGGGAAGGAAGAGGGGCTGGGCACAGTGGCTCACGCTTGTAATCCCAACACTTTGGGGAGGCTGAGGCTAGAGGATCACTTGAGGCGGGAAGTCAAAGGCCACCCTGGGCAACATAGTGAGACCCTGTCTCAAGAAAAGATTTTAAAGCTTAAGAAAGGAAGAGTATACCCCTACCCTCAGCCCTATCCTGCGTTCAGGGAGCCACATATTGAAAGCCCTGAATCAGGAAGGAATTTGGTATTCTAGGAGAACTGCAAAAAGTCACTGCAACTAGAATATAGGTAAAGAAGGGGGAGTCCGGCTGGGAGCAGTGGCTCACACCTGTAATCGCAGCACTCTGGGAGGCCAAGGTGGGCGGCGGATCACTTGAGGTTAGGAGTTCGAGACCAGCCTGGCCAACATGGTGAAACCCCGTCTCTACTAAAAGTACAAAAATTAGCTGGGTGTGGTGGTAGGCACCTGTAATCCCAGCTATGGGAGGCTGAGGCACAAGAATCTCTTGAACCTGAGAGGCAGAGGCAGAGGTTGTAGTAAGCCAGGATTGCATCACTGCACTCCAGCCTGGGTGACAGAGGGAGACTCCGCCTAAAAAAAAAAAAAAAACAAACAAAAAAAAACAATGCAGGGACCATGAGGAGGAAAGGGGGACAGGAGACAGATCACAAGGCCAGGGCAGAGAAGTGGGACTTGATCCTAAGCAGAAGAATCAGCCTGAAGCTTCAACCCAATGTTCAGCCATAAAGTGCCTTTGGCATTGAGATGAATGAGAGTGGGTGGTCCAAGGTAAATTTCCGCAAACTATTTTCTTAATACAATTGGACTAGCACATGTGTGCACCCACACTTTACTGCTTATTCTCCATTCTCCATGTTCCCACTCACCATTCCACTTCCGCCAGAACAAGATCCTGAAGCCATGCCCACACCCAAGGAGTCAGAGAGAGAGATCTCTAGAAGGGGAAATGGAAGCAGCAGCCAGCCCACAAGAGTGAGGGTGGCAGGAGCTCTGGATGGGTGTCTTGGTGAATCACAATGTGTAGAAACCTAAACTACAGGCAATATGCACTTTCTAAAGTCAGAAAACCTGAGTGGAAAAACAGAGCCCCAAAGTTTTGGCAGCACACACTGAAAGCCATAAAAGACTCTGTTTCTTTTGACACAGTTATGGTTCTTCCAAGAACTTATTTTAAGGAGAGGATTAAGGGCATGGGCAAAGATGCTGATCACAGCTGTAATCAGGACAGGGAAAAACCTGGAAACAACAAAAATGCCCAACAGTAGAGGACAGTACATCAAATGGAGGCACACCCATAGGATGGGCTCGTTTGCAGCTGTTTAAAAAGTAAGGTAGGCCAGGCCCAGTAGCTCACCTGTAATCCCAGCACCTTGGGAGGTGGGATCCACCCACCTGAGGTCAGGAGTTCAAGACCAGCCTGGCCAACATGGTGAAACCCCGTCTCTACTAAAAATACAAAAATTTAGGCAGGCGTGGTGGCGGCACCTGTAACCCCAGCTACCCAGGAGGCCGAGGGAGGAGAATCACTTGAACCTGGGAGTCAAAGGTTGCAGTGAGCAGAGATCGTGCCACTGCACTCCAGCTGGGGTGACAAGGGTAAAACTCTATCTCAAATAATAATAATAATAATAACGTAGATCTTCATGTATCTAGATATAAATGTGTCCATTGTTAATGGAAAATAAATTGAAGAAACTTAGCAGCACATTTTATGTGTATATCAATATTCATGGGTATGTATGTCTCTACAGTCCATGTATAGACATACACACATGAGCATGTGACAGAGAGAGAGTGGGGAGAGAGAGAGAGAGAGAGAGAGAGAGAGAGGGAGGGAGAGAGGGAGAGAGAGTAATAGCCTGAAAATGAAGCAATGTGGACAAGTAATTGCCAAGGTGTTAATGGTAATTCTCTTTCAGTGGTGAAATCATTTGTGTTTTTTCTTCTTAATGAAATTTATGTCTACTTTCTAGTTCTATGCTGAACATATACCACTTTCATAAGTGAAATAAATTAGAAAACATATGCAAGAAGTTATTTAAAGTGCCAGGGAACAACTTCAATCTATAACTCAGTGAAAACTTTCAGAGATGGAGACAATCAGAACGCCACTGTCTTTTCCCTGCTTCTGTATTCATATTTTCCACTGTGAGCCTAGACTTGCCTGCCTCATTCCAAGGCGGAAATGTAGTCAGGCTTCATCCATTATGCACCACTGGAGAAAACGAGGTCCCAGTGAAGAGGACGTGGAATAGAAGCCATCTGCCCACATATTCTACATGATGGCATTTTCATTAAATTCTTTGGGATGGAATTTTTTTTTTTTTTTTTTTGGAAATGGAGTTTTGCCCTTTGTTGCCCAGGACGGAGTGCAGTGGCACGATCTCAGCTCTCTGCAACCTCCACGTCCTAGGTTCAAGTGATTCTCCTGTCTCAGCCTCCTGAGTAACTAGGATTACGGGCACCCACCACCACGCCTGGCTAATTTTTGTATTTTTAGTAGAGACTGGGTTTCACCGTGTTTGCCAGGCTGGTCTCAAACTCCTGACCTCAGATGATCCGCCTGCGTCAGCCTCCCAAATTGCTGGGATTATAGGCATGAGCCACTGTGCCCAGCCAAGGGATGGAATTATTTTTTAAATCATAAACACTTTCCTGACTTTTTTCAGACAAAGGATCTTGAACATAATTAAATACTTTCTCAATGACACTCAGTCGTCCTAGGCAACTGTGACATAAGTGAGTGACATTGGTGCTGTGGCACCAAATGCAACCCCTATATGTGAAGTTGAGGGGGCTGGATTCCAGTCCAGGCCCACCATGGATCTAACC